ATAAGCAATATTTCATTTGCTTGTTTTAAAAGAAACCATTTCCAAGGAGTTTTTTTTTCTTATATTAAAATATCTTTTTGGTCCATAAATGATAGCTTTATCATCCATTACTAAAGTTTCGAGATATATACATTAACAGTATGCTATTATAATGTAATGTGATAGAAACTCTATGCTACATAACAATCAATTCACAATGATTCCAATCTTAATTTTATTTATCGATTTCCTGTGTTTTGATTGGACGAGAACAAATTCAAGAAAAAGTTTACACATCGATGAATTCTCAATCAGAACTTCTTTCTTGACTTAGCTTTTATTGTGAAATAAAAAAATGAAACAAATCGTTATGCCTACTTCTATTCTGTGTTTTAGCTAAACAATTACAGAAACTTGAAATTGAATAAAAACAAAACTGACGACATACAGGACTAACAGATGGGAATATCATACATGTTTGTGTCACTGTCAGATCACGAGTGTGAATTTTAAATCTCCAAAGTCATATTCTGGACGTTCCTAATAAGCCTACAAAACAAATCAGCTCAGTTCTCTGTAGCGCTGTGATAGGAAAGAGAAACGTACCTTAGGCTCTTGCCTTATTAGCATCAAATTCATTTTTCTACATCCTATATTCTGTCCCGTCTTTGAACAAACCAGAGCAAATCAAGGTTGTCGTCGGTCTGCTACTTTCGTTTAAGGTGTCTGTCATTATATTGTCAACATGGCCTATATGCTGCTATGCTAGGACGAATTCTTTTGAAGTCTACTTGTATTTACGATATTTGTTGACTTGAACAATATTCTAAGAGTTTTTATAAGCTTATTCTATTAAAAGTTTTGACAATTAAAGTTAAGCTTTATCGACGTCCATCTCGATTGCGATTCATTTGCACATCGCGGCATAAAGTATTCCTACGCTGTGCAGGAATAACAGATTGTATGGAGGCTTCAAAGAGAAATAATTTTAAAACTTCGTAATTGGAATTATAAGAATTAAACGTTCTTTTTTCAGAGTTTATCGACGTGCAAACTCATGCCTTTGTACTCACAAACTTTACATAAAAGTGCTTCGCACTTTTATTCAGTTTGTGAGTACAAAGGCATGAGTTTACACATCGATAAATTCTGAAAAAAGAACGTTTAATCCTAAAATACATGTCACAACTGTAATTTTATGATTATTAAATACACTTTTATACATTGCGCAAAATAAATTACAGTATTCCGATTTGGGCGCATGGCCACAACCAGTTTTGCAGGTATGTGAGAGGCCATATGCCAGTGTATTGTTTTGTAAATGAGACAATTCTATATACATGTACGTTTGACTGTCTAGTGACTTGCCATGGACTAATGAATTTCACTTACTGCTAATGATTATGCATGTTTTACTAACTCGTGCACTATACAAAGTAAGAAACCCGCCAAATTCCATAACCCAGAGCTTTGTACCTAAACTCTGACTGCATATTATAATTCCACTTCGATCGGTTTCATCGATGTCTTTGATTTTACTCTAAGCTATAATGCTAGGTACCTGATTTTTTTTCTATTCCGTATAGTTAAAATATTGTCATAGACCGAACCAGTTTTGTTTTCAATTCAGAATCAAGACCGTGACCCGGAGACATACATATTATACCTGACAAAATGCTGTGGTCTTAGATTTATTCTGTATTCCACAAAGTGGGGACTGGTATCAAAGATGATAAAGAATGACAATACTGAATGTAAATCACAGAGGACAAAAGCAGGAAAATAAAGTTTGACATACAAACAAGATGTAGCTGTGCTTTATAACCACATTGAGATAAAGGCATCAGGTGTAGTTTTGATAATTTTAATTCATTTTAACCGAAGAAATATCATTTCTTATAAACACAATCTTAAATCAGAATCGAAATCCATAAACACAATACACAATAGTACGTTTTTAATCATTGTCTAAAATCTACAAGGTTACTATGGATATTGTATACATTCCTTGTTTAATTATGTATACAAAAGCTTTGTTATTTTTTTTTATTTCGTTGGATATGATATATTGATATTAATTTACAATACATGCTCGTACAAACACCAGTCGAGTGAAAGTGTTTCATTTTCAATATAAATCAGAAAGGCAGAGATTAATCATAATGCTGCAATTCAAAAAGCAAACGTTTTGAGGGCTGTATAAATGTTAATCGTATGACGTGTAAATAATCAATGTGCCTAAATTATTCAGACAAAGCATGCCAGCTTTGCTTTTTCAGCCTTTGTGTTTTGCATTCTTTGAGATTGTATAATATAGTAATTCATTCGCTAGAAAATTTCAAAATTGTAAATTATAATACAGAACTTATACAGAATATATAGTTATTTTTATTCACATGTCGACTCGATATATTCTAGTGAATTCAGAATAAAAGATACCACACAGTCCACCACATCTGTTTCATAGTTGGATGTTTTGCAACTAAAGACGTAAATGGTTAATTTATACAACAACTCCGGTAAATTATGACAAACTGGATGACCAGCATTTTCACCGTCAACTTCACATCTATCCACGAAGTATTACTCGACCATAATACACTTAGTGTACATACTACACAGTGTGTTTCCGTCTCCCAACTGAGTCGGCATGCATGAACATGTTCAGATTACGATCATTATTCAAACCAAGGCAGGCTAGAGAACAATTAGTTAATGTTACAGGGCTTTGATCAATTGAAACAAATATTTTGCATATTCTGTGGTCGATGAAATAGCATTAATTCCAAAAACAATCTACCACTTGGTCATATTATGATTCACGTATTTTCATACAAATAGTTTAGCCATTGTTTTAAGACCAATTTTGACAACGAATTTCTTCGTTTCCTGATCAATACAAAAAGCTCATGAATGGTGTGGTTGGTCACCAGGGGATACTACCTCTAGGAATCTAATCCCATTCCTGGTGTTTCCAGGGGGTGAGTGTTGTTGCCTTATTCATGATTCGTATTGTTTACAGGATTTATGAGATTGATCACTGTTTGTTATCTTAACCATTTCAGATACACATTAACCAGTGAAACATGGCTGGGGCATCACTTATTTTATTAATAACCACAAGTACTCTGAAGTTGATATTGAAAGTATGCTTGAGTTTCTGATTGACAATATCTTTGTAGTTTTTTTGGAGATCAAGTCTTCCCTCAATCTGTCGGAATTTCCATGGGTACTAATTGCGACCCTTTATTAGCAGACTTATTTTTATATTCATATGAAGCAGAATTTATTCAAAAACTTCTATATGGGAGAAGAAAACACTTGCTGCGGCCTTCAACTCGACATTTAGATTTATCGACGACGTATTATCAATTAAAAATAGTTACTTCTATTCATGATACCAGAGTTGGACACATCTGTTTCAAATTTGGATATTTTACTAGAAAAAGACGTTAATGGTAACTTTAACAACAAAACTTTATGATAAACGTGATGACTTCAACTTTTCTATCGTCAATGTCCCTTATTTGTGCAGCAATAAACCCTTATCACCCCAATATGGAATTTATGTCTCCCGGTTGATTCAATACGCAAGAGCATGCTCTACGTACGAACAATTTCTAAAACGAGGCAAGCTATTGAAAAACAAGTTGATGGAACAAGGAAATCAACAGTCTCGTTTGAAGTCAACATTTCGCAAGATCTATGATCTATACAATTACCTTGTCAGGAAATACTATCTATCATTAAGTCGAATGCTGACTGACGTTTTTCATACTAATTGTTAGGCCATTTTTTACACACTGAATTGTCTATATGGATTTTTCCCTTTTTGCGCGATCTTGACAAGGAGCACATGGCGGGTGTGAGCGGTCGACAGGGGATGCTTACTCCTCCATGACACCTGATCCCACCTCTTTAGAGGTCCGTGTTCAATTAATTGCTCTGCTCCCAATTTGTATTGTTTCAATGGGCTCTTGAGCTTGATTACTGTTCGTTATCTCCATATTTCATTTAATTACAATATGTTAATAAAGTATTTTTTTTAACCAGATTAGTTGCAAGCTGTTCAAAAATTAACAAACGAACTGTATCATCTTAATCTGTTTAAAATGTGTAGAATTCTTTAAGTCCAGCAATGTACTTTAGTCTAATATCAATATCAAATTAATCCTATCCTAGCAGATCCTCGCCTCCATACCGATTTCCACCTGAGAACCTTTTATAACTAGCTGAAATGGAGAATCAATAAATATTAATTTGGAAAAGTTATTACTTACATGTACAAGAAAAATCAACGATAACTTAATATTGGAGATTCGTTATTATCAATCCTGTATGATCTGTGTATACCTCCGAAGGATTCCTTCGGGATTCACAACATCCTCACCAACTGTTCAAAGGTTAGTAACAAGGAGCATCTCAGCATACTTATATGAAGGATGAATGGCTAATTTGAATGGGGATATATAACTATTCACAATAGTCCAATCCACACTTTGCAAAAGTTGTGTCCCTTTGCAGGGTCATTCATAATGTTGAAAGAGAAAGAAACGACATTTCTTCTCCTTTTGCTACATGTACCAAACCATTTAGGCGTGCTCCGATAAATCTACTGTGTTTATTTTTTTTTTCAATGCATGGGTAGCCCCATTTTTGGGCAATCAGTACATAAGATGCAAATATTTTTTCCCAGTCAAATGACAAAGTTACAAACCAGAAAACTACTGTGAGGATTCTATGGGGTTTTCCCCAAAGATAGTGCCCAAGGGACATAACTTTTGAAAAGTGTGATTCATCTATTGCTTCCCTGGCGAATCTACGAAGCTTCCTGCACGTATATTATACACATCTTTGAATGACCCCTACATTAGCCGCATAGACGTACATCAAGGTTATATATTTTTGACCTGGGCGATCACTGATTTTTCATGAATTATTGCCTTTATGATACAGCTAAGAACCAGAATCCAAAAACATCCTTCATTATTTACTTTGATGTCCAACAAATTTTTACTTCGATGATTCATTCTTCACCCGAAAGACTTATTGTTACACCACTGGAAATCAATGTTACTTACACTGAGGACCTATGGTTACTCACCATGGAAGATCAAAGTATGGTTACTCACCATGGAAGATCAAAGTATGGTTACTCACCATGGAAGATCAAAGTATGGTTACTCACCATGGAAGACCAAAGTATGGTTACTCACTATAGAAGTCCAAAGTATGGTTACTCACCATGGAAGATCAAAGTATGGTTACTCACTATAGAAGTCCAAAGTATGGTTACTCACCATGGAAGATCAAAGTATGGTTACTCACCATGGAAGATCAAAGTATGGTTACTCACCATGGAAGATCAAAGCATGGTTACTCACTATAGAAGTCCAAAGTCTGGTTACTCACCATGGAAGACCAAAGTATGGTTACTCACTATAGAAGTCCAAAGTATGGTTACTCACCATGATAGATCAAAGTATGGTTACTCACTATAGAAGTCCAAAGTATGGTTACTCACCATGGAAGATCAAAGCATGGTTACTCACTATAGAAGCCCAAAGTCTGGTTTCTCACCATGGAAGTCCAAAGTATAGTTACTCACCATGGAAGATCAAAGTATGGTTACTCACCATGGAAGTCCAAAGTATGGTTACTCACCATGGAAGATCAAAGCATGTTTACTCACTATAGAAGTCCAAAGTATGGTTACTCACTATAGAAGTCCAAAGTATGGTTACTCACTATAGAAGTCCAAAGTATGGTTACTCACCATGGAAGATCAAAGCATGGTTACTCACTATAGAAGACCAAAGTATGGTTACTCACCATGGAAGATCAAAGCATGGTTACTCACTATAGAAGACCAAAGTATGGTTACTCACCATGGAAGATCAAAGCATGGTTACTCCCTATAGAAGACCAAAGTATGGTTACTCACCATGGAAGATCAAAGTATGGTTACTCACCATGGAAGATCAAAGCATGGTTACTCACTATAGAAGTCCAAAGTATGGTTACTCACTATAGAAGTCCAAAGTATGGTTACTCACCATAGAAGACCAAAGTATGGTTACTCACCATGGAAGATCAAAGCATGGTTACTCACTATAGAAGACCAAAGTATGGTTACTCACCATGGAAGATCAAAGTATGGTTTCTCACCATGGAAGATCAAAGCATGGTTACTCACTATAGAAGTCCAAAGTATGGTTACTCACCATGGAAGACCAAAGTATAGTTATTCACCATGGAAGATCAAAGTATGGTTACTCACCATAGAAGTCCAAAGTATGGTTACTCACCATGGAAGATCAAAGTATGGTTACAAACCATGGAAGATCAAAGTATGGTTACTCACCATGGAAGACCAAAGTATGGTTACTCACCATGAAAGAATAAAGTATAGTTACTCACCATGGAAGATTAAAGAATGCTTACTCAACATGGAAGACCAAAATGTGATTACTCATTATGGAAGAGCTATTGTTAATTACATGGAGGATTGATGATAGCGGGACTGAATGACCGACATGTATGTTAACTACTCTGTTTACTAATCTTGAGAACTCACCTGAAGAAACATGACCAGCAGGGATAAAGCAAGAATGATTCTGGTGAAGCAAATTGTAAAAGTGAACTTTTTGTCATTTGCATTGCAATATATGCATAGACTTAAAAATACCCTGGCTCCTTTTAAATTTGTCTTTTTTGTGCAATGCATGAATTATAGTGAAATGTGTAATAAGACAACAAGAATATTTATCAATTTCTAATACATTTGTTAAACTGAAATCAAGCAAAAGAAATACTTGTTTGATATTATAATCATTATTATTATCGTGAAATAAACGAAAATAAATGTTGTTCTTTGGTTACCAGAAATCTAAACTCTTTGTTTCTTTTTCTTGCTGACATAAAACGCTATCTGAAAATTTCATCCATCAAAGACAAAGAAATCATAAGGAGTGGGTGATTCATGAGAGAGAAATGTTTATCATTAGGAATTTGCTGATGGCTTGCAATCTTAAACATACCACTAAGGAAAGCTAATAGACAGCTAAATTGACCATGTTTCATACAACTAAGTAACAATGCAAAAACAACTGGTAGTAATGAATAGTAAATTTCTATCAAGGTATTACTTTTAAATATTCACACACACACACACACACCCTCACCTACCCACACACACACACACACAATTCTTTTCATCTCCCACTCCCCGAGCAACAATTTTAAATGTGCGTCACCAAAACAAGTAACCTGCAATCATATCCCGCACAAGTCTTTCTTCCAAGAAGCCGCCGATCAAAGATTCCAATTACTAAATTTTGATCAAAGACTTGCTGTCCAATACGTTACCTTAATTTTCCGTTTTATAACAGCAAATAACCCATTTTACAAGATATTTCTTATTTCTCTCTATCCATGCATTAATTGCGTAAATGTCTTTAATGAATGTCCTTAAAGCGAGAAAATTGGAAAAACGTAATCCAACGTATCTTTTGAAGGCGAAATATCAATTAACTTATGTTTTTCCATAGAAAAAAAAACAAGTTATATTTTTGTAGACTTGGATTACATAAGATGTATAAATAACTTTCCTTTAACAATTCACAAGCAAACACTGATGTTACTTAATGTTACCTCGCACAGAGAGGTTTGGGAAATACTCTGCAAAGGAAAGTTTTCAAATTTAAGACAATGTACGTGATTAAAAATATTATAAATCCTGATTTGATTGCTTTAACTAAATTAAAATGTGATGCTTTGATTAAAATTTATACAAGTTTTTCACTGAATATTTTACATCAAGGTATTGTATGAAACAAGAAATAATGATAGAAATGGACAGAGTGGACACAGGGAAATTTTTAAAACTGGACAATCTAGGAAATCAAAGGATATTGCCACAAAGATTTATATTTATTTTTGTATGAGAAATGAATCTTTATTAGCATTTATTTACCAAACTACGTCTTGGTATCCTTGCTCTAATTAAAAAGTGTATTTAAAAATGTGAGTTTTCATGTGTGTTGTTCATTTTTGACAAGTAATTGGACTTTTTATGAGAAAAATTTAAATATTTATTGTTAAATGTACCTTCTTTGTCGTGTAAATTTAGGTTTTGGCATTGTTTGCTTTAATAATTAAATATTATAACATTAAGCGACATAGAGTGCACATAGATTTGTGACTATATATAATTTCTATTTTACATGTTCAGTTGACACAAGTCAATGCATCAACTGGTACCATATCAAAAATTGCATAATAAATTGCTTTTTAATCGGACACCAGATTTTTTTGGCGGGGGAGAACACAAACGCCAGTGTGTTAACATTCTTACTGACAAGTTGTTTGCATTCAAATTACACTGTTACATCGGAATGACATTTTAAAAATTTGCTTAATGTTGACCAATTGGAATTTAGACAATGCAGTCATGAAAATTCACTGCTACATCCTGGTCTCTCGTGTGATTCGCCATTTATGATTTAGCGTGAATTCTCACGATGCATCAATGTTCTGTCAGACAAAAAAACGTTATGGCTTCATTAGTCCTCACAGGAGTTGACTTATATAACAAATCATCGAATCCAGTGTAGTTATACAACAGATCATCAAATCTTACGTATACCCAGGAGTTTACGACATCGCCGTCATTAGATCATCTTGAAGTATCGACAAGAACACGCATATTCTTTGTACTAAAAGTCTTCGCTCAATAATTGTACGATTTTAAGGTTGATTTGAAATACGTTTCAAATCTGGTTCATGAATGTAAACCTTTATAATTTTGGCGTATATAAATACCGGTATCATCGCTTTTTAAGTATAACAACTTATTCGCAATCATATGTTCACTACATGTTAATCAGCTGACTAACCCTTTTCATAGGTACCTTACACTGCAACTCATTACAATACTATCTTCCTTGACTGCAGGGTGTGCAGCTTCTGATAATATACACCTATTTACTGGCTATGAGGACAATAGCAAGTTTATCGTTCCCCAAGACAGCAACTATTTCCCGAGGCGCAGCCGAGGGAAATAGTTGCTGTCGAGGGGAACGATAAACTTGCTATTGTCCGAATAGTCAGTAAATAAGTGTTTTATTATACCGAAGCAGTCTTTACTTGTGTTACGTCACAATCTGTATAAAACCAGAAGAGTTCTGAGATGAAAAGCGAGGGAAACAGAATGCTGCCGGTGAATAGTTAAATGACTATTTCACCATGGGCAAATAGCACAAAAACTATTCCACGGTAGGGACTGTTTGGAAAAAATAGCATGTTTATTCGTAATATTTTTATATAGAAAAAATTCACAGAGGTATAATAATAGAATATATATAGTTTTACGCATCTTACTCATTATCAGAATGTAGGATATATGTTCCAACACAACTTGGTATAAGTGATCAATTGTATTAGTGGATGTTTAAGGTGCTGATAAGGGATTTTGAAAACATGGGAAAATAAGACAAAGAGAACTTACAAATAGGACCTCAAATCAAAAATGGTGTAACTCCCTATATATAAATAATATGAATAATATGTATTACTCTAAACAATGCTTCAACAGTTCGATAAAATTCCATTGGTTATAAAACATTTCGATTTCATTTCAAAGTTTAAAGTTGGAAATCAATCCTGTTGACAATTACGGAAAAATTTGTTTCTTCCACTTAATTTCGCACTTTGTCATCTCTGAAGATTAATGATAACGTGTCAGATGAAATCAAACCTGCGAAATAAACCAATCAAAATTTTAAAAACGATTTGCAGCATGCTACACAATGACGTCATTGAGGGATAAACTCCTTTACGAGTGTAGATTCCTTACAGAATTAAGTGTCTAAAGGTCGAAGACTTGATTTAGACCCTGAAATTATTTTCTCCAATAAACATTTAAAAAATTGTGTAGAATTACTTGGAGATTTATCTTGATTTTGTTGAACGTGTAGGGAAACAATTTTTCTGGTGGGAATTCAACGCATTCAACGAAATAAGCTCCTTAGAGTAAAACCTAGTAAAATCTGTGTGTTTGAGTGCATGTGGGGGTGGGGACTCGTCCGTTCCATCCAAAGAATAAACAATATTTTGTTGTCTTTTACTGCAGAAAAAAACTTTTTAAATCTTATTCAAAACATCCAGATGTCGAAGTCCAATATATTCATCTCTTTAATATCAGATAAATAAATGTATAGAAAAAAGAATATTCACGTTTTCAACTGATGGAAGACATGCGTTTCTTGATTTAAAAACAAAGCAAAACCAGGTAAGCTACTAGTTCGTCATGTCAAGTCATTGCTTCGTGACAACATTTTAAATATTTCCTTTGCATTTTCTTTCTAAGACAAACAAAAATCAACACTGCAAAGAAAACGCAGGTGCCCGCTGTCTGTAGATTTTGATTTTAAAAAATCCAGTTTTTAAAAATATCCTTGTCTGTGATTTCATAGCCGTTTTCTAGTACAAGGACTTACGA